TGTGTATAGCTGAAATCCTAGCATTTTAATATGTGATAAATTACCCAAAGTTGTTATTTTCCTATATTGAAAATATCTTTCCAATATGTACTTACCTCCACCTCATGATCAACATGGTTGAACTTTGTCTCGCATGTAAATCATCCTGGGACAACCTTCCACCAATAGGAGTGTGACATGCCCTCCTTATGCATGTGACTCCCTCTACTCGATTCTATCTAACCATCACTTCGAGATTAGGCACAAAAGAGAACCACCTATCAGAAATATATTTTCAGTATAGGAAAATAATAACTTCCAATATGGTACATTACCTGCACTCACAAGTATAGCTATAATTTCACATTTAACAGGCAGAGGAACCAGTGTGAGGGATAGAAATAAGTATCCTTCAAAAGCATCCAAAGAACACCCATGAAGTGTGATCCCCATTTGTAGAGGAACACATATGGGAAACCACACCACTTCTGTACCAGGTATACTCCGCAACTAAAAGGGAGAGAAAAAACAAGGTGGGATCAAATCCAAACCATAATATACCAAAATTGATCTCCCAGTGAAGAAAGACTGTAGAAGAACCATCTACAGAGAGGAATGTGGGGAAAGCTTAAATGAATGTGTTCCAAGGAGTGCAGTGGCTAGGACATGATGTATTTTATGCAGCCAGCCAACTCAAGTCCAAATCCAAGCAGCATCGGGATTACGACTTCCAACCCATGGTAGGAGGAGAGTCCAAACTGTCTTCACCTCAAGTTGAGTAGAATTAAATTATATACATGTCAAACTGTTCTACTAAATGGGGCACATGTGTGCAAATCCAGACATTCATGAACTTGACATCCAAATGATGGTACGAAGGAATGTGCCAATGTAGCAATTCACATCAAACGAAATCTAATCCAACTGGAACCCTTCAGTGCAACAGCAGCTTCATGCAGGGGAAAACTTCAGAGGTAAAGTGCTAGAGGAAGAACCTTCACCCCAAACAACATCATCCTCCAGATAGGACTGCATATAAGTTGCAGCACGTGTGTGCAAAATCAACCTCTAGGGCCCACCACATGAAGGTTGAGATTATGAAGCAAAACTAAGAAATTGGAGTGTGCGTCTATGGCTTAAACAGTTAAACATATCCTGACCAGTGAGTAGAGCCAAGTGCCATGACACAGTCACCACTATGTTTGTTTTTCAAGTATGCAGTACTCTATACAACAGGTGCATTAATTTGGGTCTCAAAGAGTTTATGGTCTTATTTTGTGATTCTCTTCGATGCTCATAATCATGTGATTACTCAAGTTAATCACCCACCTTAGCATATCACCTGATTTAAAAAAAACATTTATTCCAGCTATTTATACATTTCATGTGAATATAACTCAGATTTTTCTGTATTGGAGAGAGATTATGTTTTTAGTTTCTTTTAAAAACAAGCTAAAGATATTATCTTCTTTGAACTGATAAATTTAACATTTAACACAAGATTTTAACATAAACAGTACATTGGCAAGCATAATTTATAAGCATAACGAAGTGATTTGGGGGGGGGGGGGGGTAATACATGTTTTCCCCAAAAATAAATCACTTCATTATGCTTAAAAATCTTTGTTTTTCAACTCATTATTATGACAAGAAATTCAACAAGGCTATTTTGAATCTTTTACGCATCTATAATTATAACCTTTCTTGTCAGATTTGTAACACTCGTTCGCCCACCATAATGACTGCAGTTATTTCAAACGGCTTATATAAATATTGTTCAAATAGAAGGACAAACTGCAAGAAAAGAAGCAAAAACACTACTTAATCATAAGGAGTACGTCAAAAGTTATACAAATCATGCAGACCTGTTGACAACTATGATAAACATGAAGAACACACGTGTTTCTATAGAGAAATATCCTTCTACTTCTTGAAAGTGTTGATGTTTCTAAGACACTACACAAAGAATCTCTTGTTCAGAAAATCCATAAGGCTAATTTTTAATCTCTTATGAATGTATAATTATAACTACTCTTCTGGGGTTTGTAATAATCGTGCACACACTATAACACCTATCATTGTTTGAGACTGTTTATAAAGATTGTTTTTGAATAAAAGGACAAAATGAGAGAAAACGTGGAAAATCATTACTTAACAATAGGGAAACGTCAAAAGTTATACAAATCACGCTATACTGTGATGAATATGAAGAACACACAACACACATGTGTTTCTGGAGAGAAATATCCTGCTTCCATACTTAAGTAGCATAAATAGTATTTGAGTAAACAGTTAGTTTGAAGTCAGAAGGTTCTGACCTCTATATACTCTTTGGACCTATGATCCAATTAAGCTAAACATTATATATTTTTATTTTCTCTTGACCAACCATATTGTATGTAATGAATCTGATGCAAATCAGAAATGGTAGGGATTGTCTGTTGGATGATTTTGCAGTGAATAACCTTCGTAATCAAAGTACTCTTATTGTTCAACAAGTTGAGTTTTAACATTGAGATGTATCATTCTACACTTGCAGTATGGAAATCCTGGAAAGGATTCTGTTGTGAGAAGAATTTTTGTTGTAAAAAAAAAAGAATTTAGATGTGACTGTTGATGAAGCTTTCATGGTAATAATTTAGTTTTGGAGTTGTCTTCTCAACAGCACAGAATTACAGAAAATGTCAGGTAAAACCTTGAAAATGGCCAGTTACATAACCAATGGTATTTTACTGTAATTACCCTACAATTATAGTATTTTATCAATTACCCAAGACTCATTTTCATGTTTGGCCTAATACTCAGATAATTAGACCTTACTTTATTGATTAACACAGTTTACTCAGATAATTAGGCCTCACTTGTTTAATTAAACAATATATAGACAAGAGACCATTTGGTCCTTCAATAATTTTTCCTCATATCCATTCCTCCCAAAAATGTAAATATTTAAATTTAACTTTTATTTTTCACAAAATTATCTATTCCCTTTGACTGCTAACCAATAATAACTCATTCAAAAAGCTAATCACTCAATGAGAATAAAAAACTGACTGGAGACTAGCATGTCTTTTTTCAAAACTTAAATTGTATCCTTGTTGTATTTAGAATACAGCACAAAGAAAAAGAATGTGTGTGCATCTAATCAATACACTGGATGGCCCTGTAAATATAATACAATCTCCTTTTCTCAAGAAAAAATAAAAGATCTTAACGAATCTCCATAACATAAACCCTTCCAGCCCTAAAATTATTGTACAAATACATGTCAGAGCACTTCTCTGAACCATTTACAATTAGTCAACACACTTTTTTTAGAAAAGGAAAACTGTACATAATACTCCAATAGTCCAAATGAGACCTAACAGTGATTTGTATAGAGATGATTAACTCAGTCTCAGTCTCTCAAAAATCTCAAGATCTCTTGACTTGTAAGTTGTAATCAACATATCTATAAATATATCCTAAAATTCTATTAGCTTTACTACAAGTTAAAAATAATACTTTGAATTACTTATCCACCACTCTCCCAAAATTTTTTGAATGTTAAATTGTTTAAAATCTCAAGTTTTCATACTTTGACCTTCAAGCCCAGTTTTTCTTGACAACAGACGTACTAAAATAAAATTTAAAAATTGTACAAATGAATCCAGGACAACTAAACATGTAAAAAAATTAAAAAATAGGGCATTTAGACACCACCTGTTTATTATAAAATAAAACAATAATTACAATATATATATATGTTTCATGTACACCACTATATAAACATAAGCATATAAAAAAAATGTATATATCTCAGCCTAATAGTTTAATTTACTTCATTATATGATAGCATATATAATGTGACCAGATGTCTTACTTTCAGCAGAACAGTCCCGGTTTCAAGCTGCCTGTCCCACAGAAACTTTAGAGCATGTAAAAATGTCCTGTTTTGGAAGATAATGAACTTTATGTCCCGCATTGTCAAAATTAATACCGGTAAGCACCACTGTACTATGACTGCACATAAGATTTGTTCTGTCCTCATATAATAGCCTTCATTTTTATATGTGAACCTTCTAATACAAAGATAACCATATATTAATGTTCAAACTCAATTAGGTGTCCCGCTTTGGAATCCAGAAAATCTGGTCACTTTAAGCATATAAAATTATTGGCTATCGCTGGATCCAATGGGGATCTCATTTATCTGGTCATAAACGATGTCTAAAAAGAGGAAATGGTTTAGTTTTCATGCTATCATGAATACAAATTATTAGAAAACTGACCATGTTAATTCAAACCTGTTTTTTAACCCATTATATGAACTGCATAGATGTAACCCTACTATAATACCAGTTTAAATTTTCTCCATTATATGACCTGCATATATCTAGGCCTACTACATTACCAGTTTAATTTATTCCATTGTATATATTATCTCCATTACATGCATTTTAATTTAAGTATGTTGCAAAGTTTTAACACACCTCTAAAGTTATTAGGTGTCTAAACAAGTAAATGTCCTACTTGAACTTCCTCACTTTTTAAGGTGTCTAATTCAGTAATTGTCAGGTGTCTAGTTGCCTGGTTACCCATATAAATACAGTAGTACTAGTAGTAGTAGATTTGTACGGTTATAAATATTATACGACATGTTTAATTTTATGTCTGACTGACTTGACGTTTTTCACTCTATCAGTCTTACTCTCAGCACATATTTTTAGTAGTACTACTACTAATACTAGTCTACTTTTTAACACTTGTGTTAAGGCATAAAGGAGTTTATCAATTTCAGCCATGTCGTAACATGTTTTTTTTCCTCGTGCTACATAAAATTATTGTATAAAAATAATCAAAACTATTTCTAACCTATTTAATAAGATATATTATAATGACTCTAACTTCTAAGTATAAATAAATGAGTATCCTTTTCATTTACGATTACATTTTAATGATTTACAAGAAGGTCGAAAGTATAAAATTAACAAATAACAATTTAAAGGTCACAATGAATAAAATAATTAAGTACTACTTACGCTGCAGAGGAAACATCGTAAGTCAAAGTACAAACACTATTGTTACCATAAATCACCTTCAAATTCAAACAATGTATAAGTAATAGTAATACTATTAGTATCACTATACTAGGCTTAATGCAACTTAAAATGGCGTTAGTTGACGTCACAACAACAATAAATATATTTTTTTTAAGCTTTAAATTTCCTTTCTTCATGTGTTTACTTTTTAAAGATATTAGTTAGAGAGATTTGAAATAATGTTATATAGTTTAATTAAAATGTAGAAAGAATGAATTTACACAATAACAGAAACTGTTTAAAAAATAACTGATCAGTATTCTTTTAGTTATTATTAATTTCATATCCAAAGTCCCAGTGTCATATAATGAGAATAATATCTCCTTTGCTGAAATATTTCAGTAACATTTCTATCAGTTATAATATAACGCTATAATGCTTGGAGACGGCTTGAATGGTCAATGAAGAAAAACTTTAATATACTTGATGATGACAAAACCTTGTACATATGCTGTTATGTTAAACTTATATTATATTCATTACCGTCTCCAAGCAATATTAGTCTCAAAGCGGGTTCCTCGTCATCGAATATAATGCTATCAAAATATGATTATTGGTAACACATGGTACGCACATTTAATACTTGAAAAGTTTTTTTGTTGTACAAAACTTGAAGATAGATTTTATATGCAGAAACATCTGTTAGCTGAGTTCTTGCACAGACATTAAAATATAACGTTGATAAACGAAAACTTCTGGAACATGTAGATATGTAGATCTTGAAAGTCGAGTTGTTCACAAATTGAAAATAGCATTGATAACTGGACTAATTGTTGGTTGAGATGTTGCAAAAAATATCATGGTAAATTATTTTTTTTCACACTATTATTTCTTATGGATGTGGAAGAATTTACCATATCGCTCCTGTAAAACAAAAGTTCTACCACCAAAATGTGAATCAGCCATTGGCCAGCATTTACT